CCGAACGGCTCGTGCACTTGCGAGTATCACAAGTTGAGGATGCAGTTGAACCCATTTTGGTGCAGCTGTATCTACACAACATGTACCCATCTATAATTCCGTCAATTCCTTATAATCCGTCAATTCCATATAATCCGTCAATTCCATCCTTGTGCCACCGGAGTGACACGTCCTAGCAGACCTCGGGAAACACAAGGTCACCCAAGCCGCAATCCTAGCAGAATTCAAGGGACACTTGGTCGCCCTGATCCGCAATCCTAGCACCACACGGTTCGAGCGTCCCTGAGACTCGTGGGGCTGTGTCAAGCATACTGACCTACCCAAAGGCAACTAGATGTCCGTCGACATCAATAATACCGAAGGCAACATAATTTTATTCCGAAGGCAACTTTATTTCCGAGGCAACATTTATTCTATTGAAGGCAACCTTGGGTACCTATAGTGGCTTAAAAATAAATGTATATACATATCTATATAATTTTGAAAAAGATTAAAGTTTATAAAACTACTTATAAAACTATTCCTTAAATCCTGCTGGCATTTAATCTGATAATACCTCAGTTCTGACTTTCCAAATCCCTTTTTAAATGTTCCACTAGGCAGCACATAAATAAACAGAAATATTTAAATCTATCAAGGCATGCTAGGAAAGCTGTATTCAGTAAAACTTATTCAAGATCAAATAATGAAATTAAAATGCATAAAACGTTTATAAAACTAACAGTCCACTCACAGATACTCTGAGCTAGCTGGACCCTTTGAAGGTCTCTCATGCGGGTCACCTGGTGCCCGGGTGCCTGTATAACCATCATAATATTTTATTAAAAACTCTGCTCAGTAATATAATATTAAATTAAAAATCCTGACCCCCGGCTCTTAAAAGTGCGTGCATCACTTTAGGGTCATTCCTATGCCCAAATTAACTTTCCTCTCAAAGGGCATGACTTAGAAATATCTCGGGACTCAAAAGTGATAAAGTCCCCAAAAGTCAACTCGGGACCCCGTGGGGTCCACGACCTCAGAATTTCGATCCGATCATTACTCGAGGTTCCGATAAGTCTAGGACACATGTCCCGAGAGTTTGGTCTCGATCGAGCGGTCGGATTACTCACGATTGCACGATCGGATGGACGAACGATTTTCCGTAAACCTAGCCCTAGGGTTGGCTTTTCCAGAGCATCCGGGACTCCGATTTACGATCTGTTTAATCCTACACGATCCTTAAAATACCTAGATCAACATACTCCAGTTTGGCTATGATCCAACGGTCCGAACGTATTGAACCCGGAAATCGCACACTATGCGAGATCCGTTCGGGGTTCAAACGTTATCCGAATTGAGATCCGCGAAATCCTACGCGCTCGTGAGGACACGAGGATTATTTTAGGACCAAGAGTGGCTTCTGTTACCTGTCCCACGCGCCGCCCACGCGCCGGCAGCGCGTGGGTGTACCTAACAATTTCCGGTGACCGGATTTTCTCCACAACGTCGGCCCAAACTCCTATGCTAGGTAATATACCCTATTTGGAACCACTTTTGTTCTTGGACTATGGCCAAAAAGTGGCCGGAAGTGGCTGAACTCGGGGACGCAAAACCGGCAGAAACTTAACTCGAAAATTAACCCCTCAAACCTCAAAATCTCTCCAATCCGACCCAACCATCAGCTAGAACGTGAAAATCAGTCGAAAAAACATACCTATTTCGTCCAATTTGGTGGCTGGAGGAGGAAGAACGAGCGGTGAGAAGTTTGAGCAAAAACCAGCCCGTTTTTCTGCAGTTTTCCGGTGAAACTCGCGGCGGCTGACGGCTGGGCTGGGTTGCAGAGGTGGCGGCGATGCTTCCTTGGCCGGTCTGGTGGTTGCAGGTGATGAGTGGCTGGGTGTTAGTGGCAGTTTGGGGTGTTGGCTGGAGCAAAAGAAAAACGAGGAAGTTTCGCGAAGAAGAAGAAGAGGAAGTGAGGAGAGAGAGAGAATCAGATTTTTAAATCTGATTTTCGAAATTTGCAATTTTGCCCTTCTTATGTATTTTACTCGTAACTTCTTCGTTACAAGTCTGATTTGAGTCCACTACGTGTCTACGGACTCGTTTTGTTGCGCTCTATGCAACGGTATAATCGGATTTCCCAAATTCTTTCTCGGTCAAAAGGTCAATTTAAAACCAAATAAAATAATCTAAGGGTAAATGAGTCTTTTCCTCTATTAAATTAATAGTTAAATATTAATTAAGATTTGGGTTGTTACAATACGGTCAACTTAACGAAGGGTTGAAATTGGTCACTTTTAATTAGGGGTGGGCATCAATCCGGCCGATCCGGTTACACCGGCCAAACCGATTATATTGGTTTGGTTTGGTTTGGTTTTGACCAAAGAAAAAGTCAACAGTTTGAAAAATCGATCCGAACCGGATTGGTTTGGTTCGGCTGCAGTTTAAGTGTTTTTGAAACTATCCTAAACCAAACCGAACCGATATAACTCCATTTAATATTAATTTTATTTAATATACATGTGTCAAACAACAATTGGTTAGTAGAAAGTCATATTATGTACCCTTTCACACCTAATTGGACCCCAAAACAGAACAAAACCAAGAAAACCCTCCACTACACTCACATTCGAAGCCTCTGTCCTCTTCTCTACAACCAAAACTCAAACCTAATCTGAAAAAAAACCCCAACGTTGTCAAGCAGCCGCCAGAAAGTCTTGCTCATACTCAATGGGGCTTGGAGAAAATAGCTCATACCACTTCATGTCTGTCTTGAGCTTAGTATTCTGTATCTAATCTCACCACTGTCTTGCTCAATCCCATTTCTGACAAACCTTCCAAAACATCTCCTCCTCCTCCTCATGCTGTAAGTTTTTTCTGTCTATTTATTCTTTATTCTTTTTGGTTCTGTCTTGAAATGCTTTATGGGTTATTTTGTTTATTGGTTTTTGTTTTATGATGTAATTGGTCTGGTGTTTCTTTAAGTTATGGTAATTAGTATTCTGTTCATTGGGTTCAAACCCAATTCATGTTGTATGTCTGTCTTGAGCTTAGTATATGGGTTTTCCTGGATTTTTTTATGTTCTGCAGCTCTATGTGCTTGTTCAGGGAGTTCTACTCTTGGAGTTTTTTATTGTGGGAACTTTTTATTTTTTTTTCCGATTTTGCTTTGATTGAATTTTGCACTTAGAACTGAAATTCAATACTAATGATTAGAACTTTTAGATACATGAAAATTTTAGTTCAGTTTATATTTAGGATCACTGACTGGCTTTGGTGTTCCTATATTTGTCATTCAGTTTGGAATAATATGGAGGCATTTTATTATTTATTGGAAAACATCAGGTTGTGAGTTTGCATAACTAATATAGATGAATATATTTTTTGTTCACATCTATTGAACTAGATCATGTTAGATTTAGACTTTACAAGAAGTTCTCCGAGCCCTGACTATGTAATTCTCGTTTCCACAGGAAGATGAGGATGTGTCCAAAGGAAGTCCAAGAATACATTTGCACCACCTCTTTGTGGTAGCTTCTATGGTGTTGTGCTTGATGGGCATGGAGGTTTTGTGCCAACAAGGACAGAGTATATGGTTAATGGTTCTCTCATAAATGCCTTGCAGAAGAATAAGAAGAAATGTGTTTGTTTGACTTTTTGTTCTTTGCATTAATTTGATAAAATCAGAATGAATGTTGTAGCTGACTAGTTGGTATGTAATTTCCAATTGTATTAATC